AGACTGAAATTTCTTTCTTGCATATTATCACTTACAATAAAGGCTTTACAGATAGATTGCAGCCCCTAAATGTTTTGTATAACATCAGTAGAGTAGTATCAGTGGTTTTATAGAGGGTTGGTTGTGCCTTAGGAAGCACTGAGCAATCCTGTCAATGACAAACAAAAAAGATAATTTAGTTTGCTCTTCTTTGTGTTGCGTCTGCAGGCTAACAACTAAATAGTATGCTCTAGAAAAAACATAACTATAACTAAACACATAGGAGGAACAGATTAAATGAAAACAGAGGAGTAAGTTTACATAGTCAGTCCTAACAGGATGCCTGTATTTGCTACCAGGGTAAACTGTATATCCCATAAAATTGTCACATGCATTGTTATTTTTATCACAAGCAAACAGTACGCAAATATAAACTATTTTACATAGCCTTCAAAAATTAAGTAATCCTTGTTTTCCAATGCGAATGTGGGAATGGGCAGAAGCTTCATAGGCACAACGGGAGAAGTGCAAAAGTTACATTAAAGGTTTTCATTGAATTCTATAGCAGTATTATTAAAGTAATTAAAGATACTCAGACAAACCTAAGCAACACATTGTCATTGATCTGTTATACACTGTTTTCTGTTCATGTTCTTAGATTACCAGCAATGCAACCAGTGATCTGAACATAAAGGTTGATGGCCATGCTATTGTCCGTGGAAATGAAGGTGTTTTCATCACAGGCAAGACCATTGAGTTTCGAATGGGGGGTAACATGGAACTTAAAGCAGTAAGTATTTGAAATCAGCATTTTTTGAACAGCTTAGTTTCAAATTCAGACTGATAGACTGATAATGAAGTGATGTAGCTTCATATGGATTCAGATTTTACATAAAGTAGTCATGCATAAAGGTTTAGTTGCAGTCAGTGTATTTAGTAAGGTTTTTAAAAGGTGGATTATTACTTTGCTGATAATTAGTGGTTCAGTAGCTTTCAAGTAACAATGATTTGCTACTATTGGGACATTAAAAACCCACAATGCAATTAAAGCTAAGCTATTGGCCTCTGCACTGAAATGAATGCCAAGGCGAATTCATCGTCTCTTCTGGAGGTCTTACTGGGGACAGCAACCTTTGACAGAGGAGCAGAGCATAGTTAGAAGCACAACCTTCTGTGCTGCTGCAGCAAGACTTGCCAGCATTCAAGATTTTTGGAAATTGTTACAATTACAGAGCATATAGAATGATGGAAAAGGTTAAAGGAGGATAAAAAATAGAGATACATGCACTTCTGTTTAGTGTGTGAATGAATTTCATGTGTGAATTCAAACACCGATTCCTGTTTTACATACGTATTTTTAGATCTACTGCATTTGCTAATAGGCCTGTCAAGTGAAAAGCCACACTATTTTTTTCTTTCTTAATATCGATTTACCACTGGAATAGCAAAGTACATTGCTGGCTGTAATTGATAAATTCATGGACATTACTCACCAATTTACTTAAAAACTGAAACACTGTCATATGTACTTTTTTATTCTGTTGATTTCTACAGCCATCCTAAAGACGTCATTGATTCGTTAAAGCAGCTTCTTGTCAACAACAACCTGCCTTGTTTAAATTGGAAGTTGTGCTTCTTTTTTTTTTTCTCCCTCTTACTAGGAAAACAGTATTATCCTGAATGGAACTGTGATGGTCAGCCCATCGCGCCTGCCAAGCTCTTCTTATGGGGAGCAGTTTAATAACGGCAACTGGCTGCGTTTCAAGCTCTGTATGTGTGCAGATGGGACACTGTTCAAGGTCCAGGTGACTGGTGTTAACATGGGGTGTCAGACTTCTGTCAATCCCTGTGGAGCCATGCACTAAAACACAAACCACTACCAAAAGAGTTCTCTTTTGTGTTTACATGTATTTGTACAAAGTAATTGCATGCCTTCACGGTTTTCTGGTTTTACAGCAGTTTACACTAACATTTATTACATAATATTTTTAAACAAAGGCTGTGATGTTCAGCAGTATTATGTTGTCATGCTGTTAGCCATAATAGTGGCACTGATTTAGTAAGCTTTCAGTCTACGTGCATACCGAAGTACCTTTCTAAATTGGGATCAGTAGAAAATATTTAAAGAATGTGATCTTAGCAACACTCTTGACTGCCTTCAGTTGCCTTTAAAGGACGTTTTGGTCCTACATCCCAAGACCTTAAGGGCTGCTGAGAACACAGCTGTGATCAGAAGAACTTCAACAGGAATGTCCCTTTGTTATTGGAAGTGGATTTGCCTAGGATGGCTGAAGCAGCAGGTTTTTGTCTTCTCTTCATTTCTTGCCAAAGTTTGATACAACAATTTCCCCCAAATTACGTGGTTTCCCATATGTGTACTAAGAGAGGGGTAATGGCAGATTCACTTTAAAATATTACATTATCTCTGCCATATATTCTCATGTAGTTAAAGACAAAAATATGCTAGCACAAGTAATATTTGCAAATTAATACCAAGTGTGGAAATGTAACTTAAAATTTGCGATTATTGAAGTGTTGCTTGAGCTCTCATTCTGTCTGTGCAGTTTAGTGATTCTGCAGTTGCTTAATTATGTGAAGTATTTGTAAAATATGTTTATAATTAGAAGTACATTTTTAAAGATGTACTTACAACTTGCTCACTACCCAAAAAGAGGTATTTTTCTGGGTGTTTTAATGGGAACAGTGTATGAATTCATTATTCACAGGTAATAATCTGAAGCATGACTGTAAGCAGCAGTATCTGAGATCAGATCTCCTTTATCCCATAAATGTCAGTATCGATGAATTATTGAGAACCTCAGAATTAAATTCTGAAGGTAAACTGCAGGTCTGTAATTCTAAATGTGATGGTATCAAATCCTGTGATAGCAGAGTTTCTGAATTTGTCATGTTTCTGAATTTGTCAACGGTGAAACTGTGTCCTTACAGGAACTGGGACCTTGCAGAAGCTCTTGTAGCCTTGTAACTACTTTTGCAGAGATAAGGTGTTCTGTGCTAAAAACAGACCAGCTCACGATAAGTTTCCCACTCCTCCTTCGCTATGTATTTTCTTCAGTTTAAAATAGTTTTGTTTGGCAGCAGCATCAAGTAACCTTAATAATGGAGGCTACAAAGGTGACTTTGCCAGTAGTTTTTTGACAAGTTTTTCTAGATAAGCACACACTTCTCTTCCTAAAAGTTGTGCAAGTGTTACACATTAACTTCAGAATTGGTCATTTGCTGTGGGAAGATAAATGATCTGCCCTTGTCTTATAGCTCTTACAGTACATAGAATTCCACAAAATACAAATCAGCTCCTGCTGCAACAAGAGCTTAGTGTTTAAGGTCCCAGTTCCTGTATTTACTAGGAGCCAGTAAGTCCTCATGCGGGATGTGCATGGGTGGAAGCAGTTTCCAGAGGGGGATCCTTAGGTCAGGCATTGCACTACACAAGAGGTCACATTTCCCTCACTGCTCTAAGGCAAAGCCAGATTTTGATCCTCAGTAGCTGTTGAGGTTTGGAGGGGTGGACAGCAGTGGAGCTGTTCTAACAAAAACAGAATAAACAGAATAAAATGTAGCAAAAGCCATTGAATTGCTCCCATTAAAGGTTATGGGAAAGTACTAACGTTTTGAATACTGCACTTCATAGCACTTCATAGTTTTACTACAATCAATATTTATTAACCACTTCAACACACATTTTGCTGAAAACATGCACATATCGTTACTGCTAAGCAGTGCCCAAATTAGTGTCTGTTACAATTAAGAAAAAGAAATAAACTATAACATTTTTAGAATTTTCACTCGTGCTAATGGAAATTTGTCACTTTATTTTTATATATATAAATACACATATATGTATAAAAATAGGAGCAGCAGTATCCTCGAAGCTGAAAAATGTCTTGAAGATGACAGATAATGACTTGGTCAAGTAGATTACACACAAAGAGCGTATTAAAGCTCTTTGGTTAATGCTGACATGCCTACACTAGTATTGGATTCTTGCAATTATCGAGAGTTCTGCTTAAAATACTGTATGCAACATAGATGAAAGATTTGTCAGAAAGGTACTCTTAAATCATGGTCTGGAGAATTGGGGGTTTTTTTAAACATAGCAAAACATATATAAATACCAACTGAAATAAATTACCCATTTGTTAGCCACTATTTATTTGTTGTTAATATATTTTGTTGTATTCATTACACAGTTTGAGAAATGTTGGCATTTATTTGTTGTTCATCTTCTAACTGCCTAAGGTACATTTTTCTGTACTTATTTAAAACATTGTGTGGCACATTATTTCAATCCTACAGATGCATGTAAGATTCTGTGTGTTTAAAGTACATTCTGCACACCTCTGTGTGAAATACCTTACTGGGTACATTGAAACACCTTACATGGGAAGAGTTCTCAGCATACATAAATGTGGTGGTGGTTGCAAGAGGTAAAAGACAATGGAATTTCTAATCTGTTTTTAAATGAAACAATAAATTCTAACAAGCAGGCTGTGGTTTCAGAGTGTTATTTGTCAGAGTACAGTGTTTCATTCAAAATACATTGTTGTGTTATTGACAGGGAGGCTGGTATTTTATTAACTGTAAGTATGAAAATCATTCCACATCAGTTCGTCATAGATTGTATCTGGTGGACTTTGCTCAGAGGTAATTGTGTATGATACCTGAAGTAGAGTTCAAAAGTCTCCACTGTTGTTAGCTCATGAGTTCCTGAGAAGTGGTGTTTCTCGACTGAAGGGCTGGAAAAGAAAGAAAAGGTTTGGATTGTTTTTTGGGAGAGGTGGAGGGAGAGGGAACGTTACCAGTTTATGAATGTTCTTTTTGAAACATACCTAAGAGTCCAAAACTGTGTGTTTAAGGCAAAACATTGGTAATGCTTTGGGTATTTGGTGTTCATTGTTTTTTTAATGTCAAAGTATTTCCGCTTTCTATTTAACTCTTGTAATGCTGAACTTACCATCATTTTACATACAGATATTATGTATACTCTTCACTTGAGTGTCATGGTTGTGATCCTTTACTTTAATCTTCCTGGATCAGCGGGAACCAAGTCACAGTGGATTCTTCCTGAGATGCATCACCGTTCAGGCTGCTGGTGGGATGGGGAGCTTGCAGTGAACTGTTCCTTTACTGGAATATCCACTATTCCAGACATATCACAAACAGCAATAACAGCTGATTTAAGCTACAATAATATTAAAACTTTAATGTGCACTGACGGCAGAAATGAAGAATGGATGCTGAAACACCTGAATCTCAGTAACAACCTGATTTCTGAACTCTCCTTAACTACTTTTAGAAATTTACCCCTTTTAGAAACAATAAACCTCAACAGTAATGCCATTCACACCCTCACACTGGACATACCTACGCCTGCATGCGGGTCTAAAAAGTATGGAAAAGACTGTCGTCTTCTGCCTGCTTTGAAAGTCTTGTCAGTTGAAAGAAATAACCTTAATGCAGTTCCAAAAGGTAAGTTTTCAAAACCTTTAAGGACCTCGCTCCTGAGTGGTAAGTTGGTTTTGGATGTGATTTGGTACATCTTAATGATTTCAGAATGTGACTGTCTCATTTAATTATGCTTACAGTGAGGGAAAGTTCCACCTCCGTGCTTCCTTGACTGAAGCTAATGGGTTGTTTTGGATGAGGTTGGGGTTTTTTTATACAGTCTTTGCAACGGTATTGCCTTAATATCAGTCAAGTACAACCAAATTTATATATTGTATAAAATTACTGCCCAAGCAGTGTTTTTCCTTGTATAGAAAGGGAAGAAAGAATCTTTGGAAAAAAACAGCCTCCACAACCCAGTCATGAACCTTAACATCAGGAAAATCACAGATAATGGATAATGAATTTCATACTACTCTTCAGAAGAAAGTCAATACTCTTTTAAATAAAACTTGCTTCGATGAAGACAAAAAAATACATTTTGTTCAGTCAAAACAATTTTGCTCTATGCTATCTGACACCCATCCAAAAGTGACACCTTCCAGGAACAAGAGAGGGCTGTAAGTTTTTGATGGAGTTTTAGAAAATGTGTGCTAGTCACTGAGCTGTGCTGGGCACCACAGCCTTTGTGTTGAGCTCTGTCCTCATGAACAGGTGGTTCACGTTGCCCAAATAGTGTTTAAACGAAGCAGAAGCTGCAGTACGAGCAATGCTATCCTATATATTTGCTGAATTTAATTGATCTCTGATAACAGCATCAGATTCATTAGCTCTAGATTTTTAAAATACCAGGGTGGGGGGCAGGCAAACCAAAAACCCATTTATCTCACAAAGTCAGAGGGAAGGAATAATTTTGCACCTACACAGGCTCCTTGAAGTTCTATTTTTCTCCTTTTTTGATAATAAGTAATTCTCTAGCATGCAGGAAACTGCTTTGATCATTATTTTGTAGTATCTGTAAGGTTTCCATATAAAGTGTACAGAAAAGCTTGCATTATAAAATACATTGATGCAGAAGTGATTTGTTTTGATAGATAAATATAACTGCATATTATAGGCTGCTTCAGTGGGTGAGACAGATCAACACTTTTCTGTAAGAAACTCAATTTTAGATGTTAAATTGCTGTGCAGTGCACCACCATTCTTCAAACTTTATTCTCCCTCCTCCAAAATATTTTACACAGTACTAATAGCTTCTCAGCAATGCTCTATGATCAAAAAATCACTTCAGAGTGACATTTGGGTGTTACGAACTGTGGTGATGCTGAGCGTTCCAGCGCCTGACTTCCCACTGTAATGTACAGGCAGCTTTGGGGGGTGCCTGCACAGCACCTAAAAATGAGGTATCTCCAGCATTCAAAAGGATTACTCATGGAAGACAGATGCTGTCATAACTAGGATATGCTGAAGAACATACTGTCACGGTTGATAATTCATGGACAGGAATAAACAACAACGTGTTTTTTGTTTTCAGTCAAGTCTTAATCCTATGGATATGGTTTAAGTAATTCCACAGACGAAAAGCTCCCCTGAGTTGTAGATGGCAATGAATAAGAGATATTTTATCATCTTTTGCATCTCCATCTTTGGTTTCCAATTAATATACTTGGATTTTATAAACTAAGTATATTCCACCCTTTTCACACACCTCCTTTCCTACCTCCAGTTCTCCAGGCAAGCGGGCTCAAAGTACAGAGATCACAGTTGGAATAGTTCTGATAGCACAAAGAAATGTTACTGCTTTTACAGAGATGGGAATTTTTAAAACACACATTGATTGTGACTGTATTATTGTGCCCACTGTTGACGCTACACAACTTTCAGAACAGGCCAACCACTGAATAAGAAAAGCAAGGGTGCTCAAAGCCTGCAGCCACTCATTGCAATAGTCTGGAATGGGAGGAATTTTGTTGCAAAGAATTTTAAAAAGCCACTTGATGCACTTGGGAAAATAAGAAAACCAGTTTTGTTCTTCCTAGGACTGGGCCTGCTGCAGTCATTACAAACTCTCCATTTGTCATCCAATGGCATACGACAGATCGATCTGAATGATTTTCAGAACTGTTCACAGCTGAAGGACATCGACTTGCAAAACAACAAGATAACTCAAATTCATCCAGATGCCTTTGGGGATCTCAACAAATTACAGGTTGTAAAGCAATATTACAACCGTTTCCATGTTTTGTGTTAAGCAGCATTGAAGATATTAATTATTAACTCTTCAGCATTATTATATTGGTCTTTGATTATTATATTAGTATACAATTATAAAAACTAAAGCAAATTGTGAAAATTATAATTACTTTTATTTAATATATATTTGCTTTTATATATGGAAAACCACACACACTTAATATGCAAAATATAAATATACCACTTATCTGTGCTCCAAACGAATCCATAGCTGGCTTAAACACACACATGTCCTCTTCTACCCCCATCCCTTCCACGGCAAGAGCCCTGTGGCTGCCCATCCACACAGAGAGGAGAGTTCCAAATATATCACAATTTCAACTTTTCATTTAAATTAAAAAGCTTAGATCAACATTTGTGAAATCCTAACCAGGTTTATTGTTCCCGCATCTGCGAAAGTGCTTGTATGCTAAAATAAATGTCATTGTTGATACTGCAATTAGGAATCTACTGTAAGGGTTAGCAAATTAATTCTGAATTATTTCCAAATAGGTTGTGGATCTCCGTGAAAATGCTCTGACAACCCCTCTGCCACAGATATTAATCAGTTTGAACTTCTTTCAACTTGAAGTGGATTCATCAAATAATGCCTGGATATTTAACTGCAGACTAAATGTTTTGCAACATTTATTTCATTTTTTTTTTGACTCCACAAGGAAAAAATTGAGTATTTCATATAATAACTCTGCTAACAACTCACAGAAACCGCTGCTGTATCTTTCAAGTTTCCATTTAAACTGCAGCAACAGTGTTTTGCTCAAGAGGGCTGTAATCCCAACAGGGAAGACATCGGTGCTGAACTGTGGCTTGGACAACACAAGGGGTACGTAAATCAGGGACTCAATCCATACACTGCTAAAATCCAAATGCATGCAGAATGATCAAAGAAATCTTGCTTAAAAATTATTTCTAAAGATACTGATTAAAAATTATTGAATAACAATTTAACATGCAAATTTTTCATTAGAAAGTAGTATATTGGTTAGACTATTTGAAAGTCATGTTTCTCAAAAAAAGTCTTCATCTCCTTCCTTACATTAAACTAGTAAGTGATGCCAAATTATACACAAATTTAAATAAGCAGTACATTGCAAATTTATCAGTTAATTCTGGAGTGCAAGCAAAGAATCAAATACTGGGGTGGCACTTCTGGGCATGTAGAAAACTGAGGATCCAATAGTGTTTCTATAGTATTCAGTTACAGCAAATTGGAAGTTGATTTGCAAGGGAAAGGTTTATATTTCTTCTAAAAATGCACAGCTACTGTAGCATACATTTCACTTAGGAAATGAATTCAGCATTCACAGTTAATACAGAGCACTTGAAGTACAAGTAACAAAAATCTAAAGAGCTGAGGCTTCCCACAAAGAAGGAAAACCAAGACCAAACTTAGAGCAGAAGGTGTATTTGTCATGCACCATAAGGCAAAACAGTTTAATGGAATCAGAGCACTTGGAGGTGGTAAGGCTTTCCTCCCGGAACACTTTATCTCCAAATTAAAATATGTAGAGTCTATCAGAAATGCCATCTGCTTTGTCTCTTAACAAGGAAAGTCACTGAAACTCTGATCATGAGATTCAAAGCAGAACACTGGATGGCACCAAAACTCGACTGGGAATGCAAAGACATCCAAAAGCAGAGGGGTACAGACAACCTTCAAATGTGCTCCAAAAGGCAACAGACAGCCATGGCCTCCACTAGTTGAAGTTTGGAGCAATTGCTCAGTAAATACAAAGAACCTTGGTTTCCAAACCTTTTGGCTGCAGTCAAAGCCGTAACTACTGGAAAATTCCAGTGGTTGAAGCACTAACAGTAAATACTGAAGTTTTGTCTCACAGCTGCACACAGCGACCATGGCCACGCTGGAGAATGGCTGGCTATCAATACAGATCGTCCACGAGGGAGATCAGCAAGGGTTTTTAGTATGACCCAAAACAGTCTTGCATCATTTTAGTTACCTCCTCCCTCACATACACACCATTTTTCTTGTAAAGTCTGCGACTAAGAGCCCATACATACTGCATTTTAAATGTGGGAGAGGAAATAGACAATGGTTTAACAGATACTTGTTACCATGTAAAATGACTATACATGGATAAAAAGAAAATTACTTTTATAATAAATAGCTAAAATCATCAAAGATAGGTTAGAGTATGTCCCTGTAGAAGTAACTTGACCCTGCAAAGCACGTATCCTATACTTTCAAGAATGATTTAGCTTGTATTTTCTTTTATTTCAGGTAATGGCATATCTTGGTGGACACCTAAAGGCAGAATTTCAAAATATAATCATTTTCCTCATATGACATTGGATAAAATGAATAATTTAGTGATACATAATGCTGAAAAAACTGCTGAAGGGCTATATTTCTGTATTTTTAATAGAACAAAGTCGAAATATCTCATCTACAACATACAGCTGAAAGAAAGGGTTTCAACATTTTTGGTGAGAAAGGCCCGGGACACTAACACTGGTTTTAGACAAGGAAGAACAGAGCAAGACTTTACATTGGCCATTTGCCTCTCCATGCTCATTACATTTGTTTGTGCTTTTTGTCTGGGTGCTTTTGCTAGACCCTACCTTGTGCGTCTGTGGAGACTCGTGCGCAGGGACAAAAATTCAGGTTCAGAACATACTTATTCTAATCAAGCTTTTTCAGAGGAAATCTTGAGCAGAGAGTGGTCTGCAAGCAAAACAACAAATGTACAGCATAATCTGTTTGTTCGTGATGAGAATTCAAGAAACGCACACATTTTTCCTACAGAAACTTCTAATTTGTATGAAGATGTCACTGATAGCAGTGAACATGCACCAAATATGCAAGACAAGTACCAGAAACAAAGCAGTGATGAGATCAATGTGAAGAAAAACCCAGTGTTTTCAGACATCAAAACTAGTATCAGCAGTGATGAAAATATAAATGTTGAAGATAATGGACTGTTTTCTGTAAGGATAGATTATGAGAACAGCAATGAAGTAACGCCAAGAAAATTAATGAGTAATAACACTTCATTATGGGAAGATCGAAAATATGCAAATAATGAAGACTCCAGGAAAACCAGGTTCCCTCCTGCTCAACTGAATGTTGACTCTTACTCAAATCACACTGAATCTTCAGATTCAGATTTACCCTTCATGAGAGAAGCTGACTTTCCGTTTTCTGCAACACACACACATGCAGCTGCACAAGGTTCTGGGAACAGCAAGGTGAGCAACAACTCTGGTCTGCTGCAGTCTGAATTCACAAAGGCTACTCCAGAGTCTTCTGAAAGAAAAGGTATCGTTTCACACAGTGAACCCATGAGCATTACAAAACTTATGCTTGGAAGGCAAAGCTGTGATGAACAACTTGGTCTAAATGGCAACATAAATATAACCAGTGATGTGACAGATTTTGTTTTACCCACTAGCTGCAGGAGAGACACAAATACTGAGAATTTAAGTGTCTACCAAACAATAGAAAACCCTCCTCTTACAGAGCACGACTGTAAAACAGAACATACAAATGACAAAGATGCTCCAGCAGATGTATTTGGCGATAGCTCTTCAGATGAGGGGATGCCGTTCACCATGAGTGACTGTAGTTCCCTCACAGACTTTGAACTGGAACAACCTGGTGTTAGTGACAACCTGCCAGTCTGTCAGGCATCACTGGAGGAAGCTGATACAGATGGTGGAACTGAGCAGTTCCCAGCACTGCCAGAGTCTCCAAGCATTGCTGCTGAACTTCAGCATATTGGGAAAAACACAGACGTGAACAATGCCTATTGTGAAACCACCATTAATTATGGATCAGATACCATCATGGCTGAAACAGCATCACCTGACACTGATAAATGCAGTGACCACATAAGCACGTCAGAGTCGGACACAATTAGTTCTTCAAGTCAAGAAGTTCCTGATAAGTTTGATTATTCTACTAACGGAGAGTCAACAGCACAAAACTCAATTTCTGATTCCTTCCACAATCAAAATACAGATTTTGGTAATAGGTTACTTTTGTTCAAACATTCTCCCACGCATGACACAGATACTGAGAAGACTCCCGAAGAGGCCGAACTGCAGCCACATCAGTTTCCCATTGAACTTCAGCATTCCCTCAGACTCAGTCCCACTACACAAAAGGAAAATGCACCAGAGGGAAGCACAGATGAGCACACGGACAGGAGGTCCTCTAAAAAGCACCATGGTGAAGAGGACATTACATTAAGAAGAAACATGAGTACACTCGAGGACGATGATTTTAGTTTTGCTCCCACTGATACCGCTTTGAATGAAATTGCTAAAAAACCATCACTACTGCCTTCCAGCAGTGAGTCATCTCTTTGGTCTCTGCCTGAACACACAACTGAAGAACATTTTACGGTTCTTAAAGAAGACTTGCTACCACAGGGAAAGCAGGTGAACACAGCTAAGGCTTGTGCAGATAAAATGCAGAGAGGTTTTAATGAGAAAGACTGGGATGGGTACACAGAATTACAGGATGCCAGCAACTGTTGTCTGCCCAAAGAAATGCAGTCTAGCAATCTTATAGCAGATTTGCTGTCTCTTCACTCTTCTGGCAAAACACAGCCAGTCTCCAGCACAGAAGATAATTTCCAACTGGATCAGAGCAGCGAGGATGCATATTCCTTCTCAATCCCACAAGGCTTCTCCAGTGAAACCACACAATACAGCTCATGGTCGTTCCCACAAAAGACTACACGAAATACAATCTCTGAAAGCACTGACTCCAGCGAGATGGAGGATGACAGTGCTTTGGCAGGACTGGAGAACAATTTTACAACAAGTGTTAACCCCCAAAATTCAAGGGAAAATCTCAGTCAAAAAACTCAGACCAAATTAGGACAGGGACAGGTTTTTGTTAAGAAGAAAAGAGCATTTGATGGATTTGTTAATGTTTTGCAGAGCAGGAGAACAAACCTGAATAGTTGAGTCACAAGAGTGCAACACTAAGCTCCCACAGTGTTAATGTCATTTAGTAGATGCAAAAATTGTGTCTTCAAATGTAGTGTGCAGCTTTTAATAACTGTTAAATACCATGAGTCGGGGTTTTATTTGGTTGGTTTGGGGTTTTTTGTTTGTTTTCCTCTCTCAGTACAGCTATGTATTTGCCTTGAACTTCAGAAATCCAAGTTACAGAACTTAGACCTAACAATGAGACATATAAAGCCTGGATCCATCTAATTTAAAAACACCACAATTCCAAAGGGAGCCAGGAGCCATGGAATTGTGTTTAGAAGGGTGCTTGTAAACAAAAATAGATTTTATCAAGAACAACTGTAGGATACTGAAATGAATAAACTGTTCAATACTTATAATTGTTAATAAATTTTTGCTGAGCAATAGTAATACATATTCCTCATTATTGTTGGTAATAAGGTATTAATTTCCCTTGGTATTTGCTTGATATGCAGTTTTGTCTCTCTGTCTAAAATAAATGTAATACTGAAATTATAATTACATTATTACTATTATTGTGTTTTTCTGTGGGACTCACGCTATACAGTGAAATAGTACATATTACTGTCTTCTGCCTTTTGGACCAAATTTGTGGATTAAAGGTCTCTGAATTCTCTGAATTTTGCGAAGGTAAGTAAAATCCAAGCAGTATTCAATTACAGTAAAAAAAATACTTTTTAACTTGGCAAGACACAGAGAGTAATGAAACCCTTCTGTCTCAAAGAAACAGAACAGAATCACAGAATCATCATGTGATCAAAGACCTTTAGGATCATCAAGTCCAACCATACCCTAACTCTACCAAATCTGGAGCTAAATTACGTCCCTTAGTACCACATCAGTGTGTCATTTGAACACCTCCAGGGATGATGATTTAACCACTGTTAAGCCTATTCCAGTATTTGATCACCCTCTCAGTGAAATAGTTTCTTCTAATGTCCAACCTAGACCTCTCCTGGAGCAATTTTATGCCATAAAAAAAACCACTCAAACCTTGCAGAAAAAGTCAGTTATGGAGATCTTGCTACTGATGGGAGATCACCTGTAGTTTGCAGATATGATGACATGGGTAGGGTGATCTTTTTTTAAAAAGCAGCATACGATTACTAAACTGTAATTCCCTATAAAAAAAGATCCTATACACACTTCAGGATTTTACTAAGAGGGGCAAATCAAGAGCAGCTTAAAACTGCTGTATTAGAATATCAATAGATTGATATACAGTAGCTTCTTCTAAGCGAAAAGATAACAAATGATAACATTTTCTGTGAATATTTAATACTGAAAATAGCCCAAGGCCCTCTTCACATTCACGGCATAATGTGACTGATGTAGTCCTTGGAGGGGAACATCATCACAAAGGGGAACAGACTCAGGTTCCCAGAAAATGCAGGAGCCTGGCCAGCAACTCTGGAAAGACTCTGATATGGAGGCACAGTTAATTTGCTAAAAACTCCCAACAGAAGGAGCACATTTCAACTCCATCAGATGAGGAGCAAGTCCAACGGCACAGTACATCTTAGAAACTATCTTTAAAGAGAAAGCTAGGAAAGAATAAAGAGATGCTGACAAAAGCTAGTAATTTTTGTTGTTAGCTTCATGTACTTGGTACTAAAAAAAGTTTTGCAAAAAGCCTAAGCAGCAAGTGAAAGTAACTGATCAAGGAGAGACCAGAGCCAATATTATTTCATCTTTTGAAAAATATTTTCATTTGCCTCTTGAGTTCCTTGCAAAGAATTATTTTACACAGATAACATCACAATTATCAGTTACATATTTACTGAGCCAATAGTCACCTATGCTTAAATCTCCTACTGGTTTGGTTTCGTTTGGTTTATTTTGATTTTTCTCCCCCTGGCTGATTTTGTCAGAATCTCTAACCTAACTCAGAATAGATTATATAGCAGATTCAGGTGGGTGTTGCTCAGATTTGATTTAGGGCACCACAGTATTTGCAAATAACTGCACTCAATAACATCTGTAATTCAAATACAAACAATGAATCTGCTGTCATTCACACAGATGACCTTGCTTTCCAACTGGTTCTCTGAAGATTTTTGTTCTTTTGCTCCAGTATTCAGTGATATCTAAACCTATAAATAAGTTGTTTGGGGTTTTTTTTGCTTTGGAACCACAGATTAAATAATCATCTTCATCAAATTACCCAAGGGTTTAGGGGCCTGATTTTGTTTTCTGTTTGATTTTGTTTGGTTGGTTTTTTTTTTTTAACAGAAAAGTTTTACACACTTAACTGTCTAGAGTTGTTCATACAGTCTGAACAGATTAAAAGTGAATGACAAAACACTCAAATCTGCAAAAATCACAGCATTCCCAGAAATGTTAAAAATACAGCAACTCTAAAATAATTTTTTTCCCAATACAACTCATTCCTTGATTATATATGTATCTGTAAATGTTATACTCTGTTTTACTATAACCTTTTTCTAATCCCCACATAGCCTCACTACTCATGTAATGCCTTGGCTTCTACTGAATTTAAGGCTGCTATTTTCACAGAACAGTGCGTGACATAAAAACCAACTTTGTTTTTAGGGGCTGTCTAAAAGTAAAGCACTAGGCAAAAGTTTCAGACTGCTTCCTCATAGGAACAGCTACATAAACACTAGGAGCAGAAAACAGAACAGTATTTCCTCATCACCACTTTCCTTAGCACCCATAATCAGCTTTCAGTAAAGCTCATTGTACAGAGCAGTTAATTGTGGCCAAACCAACTTAAAAATGGAATACAACAAAAAGGAAGGCAAATTTGTTCATGGTATGCATTAGTCTTCAAACACTATGTTGACAGACCTTTCCAATACAGCCTTTGGGCTGCACCAGCTGCTAACAAGAAATGCAACCACATAAGCAAGTCAATTTCACACATCACAGAAAAACCAACCTCTACGAGTGGCTCTATTGATGGCTCATCCACAGCAGTCTTTTGTCATTTGCTTTTGCTACCGTTCAGCAGGCTTTCAAAATATGAACTGGAAAATTATTTTCTGACCATGGGAACACTGCAGTGGGGAAGCAGACAGTGCACTACTTATGAGAAACTGCAAGTTTTCTAAACCTCCCTTTATGCCATGAAGTTACAGAAAAGAGTTCTCATGCTGTTGTCATGAGGGAAAGTATATTCGCTCCTCCATCAAATGATTTTTAACATGTGACAAAGTACCTCATTACACTGTCAGAATATTGCTGATGTTCTGTCTCAAACTTACCTTCAGATTTCTGCCTTATCTTGCAGCTTTCCCTTGCTACTGATAGCTCAAGAAACTCCTTTCTGTTCATTCAAACGCAAACACTCAGCTGCTTCTCCTTCATATTAGTTCCTCACTTCACTAGCAATTGCTCTTTACGTTAATTGAAAACCTTTTATATTTTCTGTGGCTTCCAAGCAGCTACTCTTCCTACTATGCTCCTCTCCATATTCCACTCCTCTCCATCCACCTTCTTTCTCCATATCCTTCTGTATACAACAGCTGCACAGTACCCCACTCACCAATTCCCTCCAAGCTTTTATCTACTCACATTTCTTTACAGTTCAGCTGGTATCAATCCACCACCATCTTGTTTGCACTGAAAACCACTACTTTAGCTGGTTTGGTCACTGAGAATTTTCTAGCATACCTACACTAACACAACACCAGTTGCAGTTACAGGGGTGTAAAGTGTACGTTATACACAAATCGTCTTTGCCTCTCTGCACAGATGTTAACTGCAACTGCTCCAGGGATGTCAAAACTTCTTTAGCTTCATCAGTAACTGCACATAGCAAAGCATATATGCAGGTAAGCCTGATGTTACTGTTGCTGTTGATGGTGGGTAAGCAGAGCAAGTCACAGAATAGTCTCCATTAAAAAGGCAGCTGAGCTAATGCTGGATGAATTTGTAAATGAAGCAGGAGGAGGCACCCAAGTGGATGTTGGTAACAGTCTGGGCACCTCCTTCTTACGGAGCACCAGCACGCTGAGCTCAGGGGGCAACAGGACACAGTATGCCTCATACAGTGTATCAGTACACAAAAAAATACCGAAGTCTTAAGAATAGATTGAGAACTTCAAATACAGTGATTGGAATGATATAAAGCTCTCATTTTCAATCACATATTTATGATACCTTTATAATTAGCAAGTTGTCTGCTGTAGGTACAAAGCATTTCAATCTTTCCAGAGCACACTGGTAACTGGGCTGGAAAAGGACTCCTGAATATAAAGAAAATACATTCACATTTAACCTCCATATAATTAACATAAAAAACTATTAAAGTATTAAACTTTTCATGATACAGAAAACTGACTCACTCCCTCTGATAAATACAAGCAGCAGGCTGCATGCTGAGAACTGGTGAAGGCCAACCCAGCCTTCATCACCAACATGACCACAATGAAGAACTGCTTCATTAGAATGGGCTCCACATTACAATATTCTAATTGTAACGTAAATACATTCAACTTCAAATAATATTTTAAGTCAAGAGCCTAAAATAGCTCAAATAATGTAAAATGTTCAAAAAACAATTTTCTTGTGAAGTCTGTCTTGCATGTGTTCTTTATTATCTTTGCCAGGTTTTAAGTCTGTTTCCCATTCAAAAACAGATTGGTAACTCTGCAAGCAATACATAATAGGAACTAATGGCTCCTTTAAGAACTAAATTTCTGAATGTAATATGGACATTTAGGCTATAATTTTCATGTCACTGCTAGCAGCTTTTCTACTGCTCTGCTTAGATACTATTACTTTTGCTTTAAAAAGATGAACATGACAGCTCATTACAAGTCACATAGTGGTAAAACTCTTCTAAAAGGGAAGAAAAACAACTGTTTAAGGTCAAGAACAGACCCTCAGATCAAAATATTGCCACATTTAAATACTATGAGACCGGTCTTCTCTTACAGCATTACAACTGAGTAACTTATTTTCTATAGCATATGCTTTTAGAGAACACTCAATCACAGCATGGCTGAGGCTGTATGGCACCTCTGGAGGTCACCTGGTCCAACCTCCCTGCTCAAGCAGGGCCACCTAGAATCAGTTGCCCAGGCCACATCCAGATGGCTTTTGAGTATCTCCAAGGATGGAGATTTCACAGCCTCCCTGGGCAACTTGTGTCAGTGCTTAGTCACCCTCACAGTCAGAAAGTGTTTCCTGACACCTCCCGTGCTTCCATTTGTACCCACTGCTCTGGTCTCGTCAACAGGCTCTACTGAAGAGTCTAGCTCTATCTTCTTGACACCCTCCCTTCAGACATTATATACATTGATAAGATTCCCCCCCCCCGTACCTCCTCTTCTCCAGGCTAAACAGTCCCAGCTCTCTCACTCTTTATCCTCATAGGAGAAAAACTCCAGTCCCTTCACCATCTTCATGGTCCTTTGCTGGATTCTCTCCAGTACATCAATGCCTCTCAGGCCCTGGGAAGCCTCGAAGAGGACACACTACTCTGTGTGGTCTCACCAGTGCTGAGCAGAGGGGAAGGATCATCTTCCTCAGCCTGCTGGCTACACTTTGTCTAATGCAGCCCAGGATAACATTCACTTTCTTTGCAGCAAGGTCAAATCGCTGGCTCATCTTCAACTTGGAGTCCACCAAGAACCCCAGTCTCTTTTCTGCCAATCTGCTTTCCAGCTGGGTGGCCCCCAGCATATACTGGTACATGGGGTTGTTCCTTCTCAGATGCAGGACTTTGCACTTGTCCAGGTTGAAGTTCATGAGGTTCTTGAAAGCCTATTTCTCCAACCTACTGAGGTCCTGGTGTATCAGCCCAGTTTGGTGTCATCAGCAAACTTGTTGAGGGTGCACTCTGCCCCATCCATCATCCAGGTCATTAATGAAGATGTGGAACAGGACTGGACCCAGCACTGACCCCCAGGGTACACCACTAGCCACCAATTAGACTTTGCACTGCTGACCACCACTGGGGTCTGGCCATTAAGTCAGTTTTCAGTCCACCTCACCATCTGCTCATCCAGCCCATAAAACAGATTTTCCAGGAGGACCTCAAGGGTTGAAAGCCTGCATTGAGACGAGTAGATAATGATCATGTGTGTAAAATATCATCTTAAGAGATATTCCTGCTCAAATTGCCTCTTTTTGTTGAAAATTTTTGTGTTACAATACTGGTTTACACCAACATACCCTACTGCAAACATACCTTTTAAAAAGAATTATTTTAAATACTTTGCCTTACTACTAGAAATAAGGAGGACAAGATTGTACGCACAAATTCTCTGCTACTAAATGACAAAGGTTGCCAGCTGACGTGATGCATGTTCACATATGAGAATTTCTGAAGTATGTTCACAGAAAAAGCTGAAGTCAGTTGCTGAAACCAACACAAATACTGTTTATTTGTGGGATGCCATTTTACATCAACACCAGCAAAAGACCTAAAAATCAACTGGATGAACTCACGCTAGGTGGTTAACAGTATTTTTGTCAGGTCGTGAGTCACAGGAGTTAAGCACATTTTATGTATGTAATATCCAAATAACTAAGACAAAGCATTCACAGTTACAGGTTAACTGCTGTTCCTGCAACAGCAGTATCAGTAGGTACTATTTGGTGACAACACACACACACACACACACACACACACACACAAGAAAAAAATTAAAAAAATAAAAACAAAAACAAACAAAAAACCAAACGAAGTTTTGGTCTCAATTACAGAGAACAAACTATTTAGTTGGTGGACGGATATATACCTTTATAGCAATATGAAAGGACAAAATATAAGGCCTAGAAAGAGGTATTTTAGCAGTTATAATTAAAACTGGGGCACAAGCTAACTTTTAAAGCTGTCTATGTGACTTTCAAGAGTATTAAACAATTTGTTAGACTTGTGACCAAGGGTCAACAGGAATCTGGGAAAATCTTAACACAACTTAAGTCCATTTCTTGCTCTCCAAAAAAAGGAACTTGGGAACATTAGCCAGGTATCAATGAGCTATAAAGTATTTTGATTGTGTGAGCATATTTGTGATGAAATAAAGTGCATGTATTTGTCGTAAAATGGGAGAAGCCTCCAGTCCTCTGCAAACCTTAGAAAAGGCTATACAAGGGTGACCCAAATATTTACAGTAGCTTAAAGACAACCTTAAACAGTTTTTAACTGAAAACTGAAGTACTTCAAGGATTCCAATAAATTCCATCCTCTTCAGCTTGCTTTCCCTTAAAAATATAACGTTAAAAAACAATAGAAACACAGAATTACATTAATACTTAATATTCTTTTGCTGTAGAATGAAATTTAATTTGTGGAATGTTTCTGTTGCTAATATTCTCTACAGCTACTCTAATAAAGAGCTTCCAGTGTTTGTCATCGATCATCTTAAAGTGTTCACTGCTATAGACTCTGGATGCCATTTTCCTACCACTAACTGGCTTTCTACTTTACATCTTCCAATCACCAAGCAGGAATTGCACATGGATCATCAAGTTTCTGCTCTGAGAACAGCAATAATACACCAGAAAGATTAGTATGAAATCTCTCAGTGTCTTGTTCAAGAAGTCAGCATATTCTGTGTATTACTTTTCAAAGGGGGAAAAAAACCTACATCAACTATATGATGGCATAAAAAACAAAAAAGCAAACAAACTTGTACAAAATACTAGGTAAACTGAGTAGCTTATTTAAATTTCCACATCTTTTTTAAATTAAAGGGAATTTCTCTAAAATACAAAAAATGGCAAAATTACAATCCTCTGCTTATCAGCATATACGGGAAAACCAGAAGGATCAATAGCACAGGGAAACTTATCAAACCACACAGTCCAGTTTAGTCCATTTGTTCTCTACAAGTACCAGTAAGGCTGTCTACCTGCTGCAATTGAATTTGTGGTTTAGTTTAAGAAGATCCACGTTTATAAACCAGCTGAGGAATACAGACTCATCCTGCCTCCAAGTGGAAAAGAAAAATTTGCAGCATCTGATTAATTTCCAAACATTCTTTCTTTCCATCACTTTCGACTACTTTTACCCAAAGAAAAAAAAGAAGAGTTTGTTTACTTACACAGCATCAGTACTTTCTGAGGTTTATTTTCCTCTGCTTTCTTTGCTCTTAATTAAATTTTCTGCTAAATGTTAGCAAAACTTGGAAAAAGAGCACTTGGTTGAACTGAACAGATTTCTGTTGACCCTGTTATATGAAAGTTACACCTACAACAGTAGTAGATTGAAAGTGTCTTTGGCTCTTGCTTCCATTATTGGAAGCCAAATTATTTGTGACATACAAAACCTTTTATGCAAACCTTGTATTTGTTGCAGTATTCATGCCAATTTGTGCTAAACAGTTTTCTAGAGTCAGTAACTAGCCTAATATTTAAGAGCAATCAAAGTATTTCACTTAAAGTCTTAGCAATTGCAATTTAGCCTAATGTTAAAAGTTGTATTGCTTCTAAGTTCATTCTTTTAAGAACTAAACCAGCAGCTCCACTGATACTTCCTTACGGTTATATTATGGTAATATACACATTTACATCAGAAGTCTTAATAAAAGGTGTGTGATTTAGTTAGAGGCTTACTGTAAACATTAAATACCACACTCCACTGAATTGATTTCTTGTGCAAACTGGCATCAAATATGGGATTAAGGTTATGCGTATTAGTATATGAAAAAGCAATGACTATGTATATTTTACCACTATTAACTTTAAAGAGCGCTATTTAGTGTTGTGGAAATCTAAACAGGACTGTTTCACAGGGAAAGGTAGTATTTTCTTCTTTGCATCTTGAAGTTCTAGGTTTTGTATATGCATTCATATTGTATATTTATGTATATACAAATATACACAAACACACAAACTTTTTTTGTCTTTGGCAGCTGAGTTTGACAAACAAAAGTCAATCACAGCAACAAACAGATCTGAACACAAACTGACCACCTGCAGCAACACAGCTACAACCTCCTGGGCCAGGGCAGAAAACTAATGTGCTTTTGCTAAACTAGGCTTAATTCTGAAAGTTATCAAGTTAATGACAGTTGTTCCTGACTTCAGTGATGCCAGAGTAGGAACTTCAACACTGCTGAAAATTGCACATTCAAGCTAAAACACTTTCCCCACCTTCCCCTGGATTGCATTCTAGAGAAATATCAAAACTGCCAATACCTTGCAAAATATTTCTACAGAAAAGTAATGTTTTTTTATTCCAAAACACCTTGGCCCTTTTTTGTTAAATGTTCCATTAATCAATATGGAACATTTTAATAAATCCTTAGAGATCAAAGTTTAATAGCACCGGATACTTCAAGGACCTATTTAGAAAAATCAACACTAACATTACTTAATAAAGAAGGGTAAGGCAAAGACAATGTGACAAAGTTACAGAACTTCAGCATCATTCCATTCACTCATTTTCCCCAAAATAATCACTAGAACTGTCCTATACAGATAAAGAAACAAGTGAAATCTGCAGTGGTCCACACTAAAAAGTACTGTCATTTAATGCTGGTGTTTAACTCGCCCATTGCCTGCAATGGGCATTCTGCTAGGAAATTCCAATCCCCAGCAGGAAATGAAAAGTAATATTTTGACTACTGGATACCAGATTTTTAATTACTTAGAAACAAAAAATTAGAGATCCCAGGAAAGACTAATGTTACAAACAAACAAAAAAAAATCCCCAATCTGTATTAACTACGTGCTGGGGTGAGCAGACTTTATTCCCCAAACCACTAATTGTAACTAGAACTTTCAGCTTTTCACTAGATTGCAACATAGACCAAACACTCTTGGTACACCAACAATTAAAAGGCGTATCCCAAAGGCAATTTACGGAAGTCTAAAACCCATTTTGAAAAGGTACTTTAATTTGTTCATTTGTACCTGTAATGACTACTGCAGTTTTAACAATAAAAAGTCATTTCTTCAAATGGAAATAATCTGTGGCATGTACAACTATTACAGTGTTTTAATATTTATAAGTATATTTATATATTTTAAGACACCAATGTTTCATTCCTATTAAACAATAGGTCAGGTTTGGCGAATTCCGGTGAAGGTAGTCACAGCATGTCTTCTCCTCTCAGAAACTGGCATCTCAAATAGTAACATTAAGACTGACAATAGTTCTTCACATAACTATGTCCAAGCAATCTGTTAATTTCATTTTCTGAAATGCTACATTTGAGACCAAAAGAAAAACAGAATAGCTAATTCAACAAACTTCTAAGGGATGACTAGAAATATGCCACAAAATTATTTTTACAATACACTTCTGCAGAAATAATCCCTAGGTGAAGCTTTTTTTATACACATATACAAAATTTAGACAGCAATATACACATAATCACAGTGAAGATGCTGGCAAGTTCACCAATTCGTAGTGTAAATACAAAATGCAAAGCAGCCTTCAAAGAGAACAATGCTACACAGCAAGCATAGCTAGCTTGTTAAATAGCAAACATTAAAAGTTCCCCACAAAAGGGATGCAGTGCAAGAAAAGCAGCATGCACTTTGATACAAATAGCAGTTTATGGCTAATGGTTGACATAACTGTGGTAACAGTGACTCTCGAGTGGCTGTGCATCGTTAAACTTCTATGTCATCTGCTTTCCTTTATACCATTCCACAAACTCATCCAGCAACACTGGCCCTGCAGAGAGATCAAATAACTGTATTTTACACAATTTTGTAAAAGGACACTGAATGATTAAGCTCAGAGAAACAAGTTATTTCATCAACATCAACATATGGTAGTACTTACAGGCTCCATCTTCATCATAATTACTGAGGTCAAGGTTAATTGTTCTGCTGAATTCAAGAACGTTACACCATTGGTCCTTATTGATAACTTTGTATTTTGATTGCTGCTTAAAGGTAAGAAAAAGAAGTTACTAAAAAATATTTTCAACTCCCTAAAATTCAGAATTTCCTACAGAAAATTTAAACTTTGTGATTATTATTTTTAGTCTGTATGTCACCTAAAACTAGACAGGATAAAAGAAACCACCAAGTAGTCAAACTAGTGATGAATAACTCTGATTAAGGCATCTTTTTAGTGGACAAACATATGGCAACAAAATGAAAGTCCAGAAGGAAATAAAAGCTATTCTATACTTTGTCCTGCACTAAATAAACCTTAACAGTATAAGGACTTGGGGAAAAGGAAGAAAGGAAAGGAGACCAGTTACAAATGCTGCTCTGGGTGTTAGTATATTCTGAATTAGAACAAAAAACTCTTGGCCACTCATTCTACCTCTAGTTAAAGTACCAGAGAAGACAGATTTAAAAAAATGCATTTCTGTTTCAAACTTCATACCTCTAGAAACTGGTGAAATACCGGAAAAAGGGACCATGTTTTTCCCAAAAGAAGGCCCAACATACACTTGGCAGTATTGATATCTAGGCTGCGCTGGTCCTTTTCCTGCATAAGGAGGAAAAGGTCAGAAAGGAAAAAAGATTTCAGGATTTTTCACTTCCTCCACTGCCTGTAGAACAGCTCACCCATACATAAAATTAACACATAAATAATAAATATCAGTATCTAACACTGGTTTTTATTAAAACAACTTCCTACTACAATTTCCTTTCTCAAACCTAATGACCTGCTACACAATGTTCTTTCACTTATTTCTAACATCAAATAGTTCTAAAAACTAATCCTCTTCCCAAAGCCGTTTTACACCTCTGTCACAAACACCTGTAAGCAGAAATCATACTGCTGTGAGAACACATTATTTTCCATACTGTTCTTCCCACACACTCAAGTGTTAATGAAATCAGACTCTGGTGTCTTTACTTTGGCCATGGTGTTTTACATGCCTTACATTAAGTTTCTATGTTCTCCCTCTCCAAGTACTGTTCATAACAAATTGTCCAGATAAGTCCTTTATACCCACCTCCAACGGCCTAATGGCACATCTGCCATGACAGATGCTGCAATTTCATTCTTCATTCCAAATATTTACATTCTCTTTCTTGGAAAGAATATATTAAAAAACTCTGATAAATTTCAGTATTTGTTTTACATTGATGACAGGAGTCTTTCTAAGACTGTTTCTCCCCAATATTTCAGATAAGAGATGTATTTAAGCCATGAAATATATGTATCTGTACATTCTCAAACTGGGCAATGACAATAGCAAAACAGGGAGTGAGGAATGTATTTGTGCTTATTAATACCAATATATGGTGTTTAAAATTATTTCCTCAAATCCATGCTGACCACATAAAACCTTAATGCTATTTATTTTTATTGACAAACTAACTCTAAATACCAAATCACAACAGACATTTTCAAAAATAAAAAGAGAGTGAAACCTTCAGAGAAGTGTTTTTTTGCCACAGCGCACTTCCCTGAAACAATTACCCTCAGGATGGATATTATACAATCTTCTTAATCAAAAAGCAAAACTGCTCCCATCAGCTTTTTTTTCCATCAGTCACTTTGATCATTCTGATTAAAATTATGTACAGATTCATCTGCTGCACCCAGGTAAATGTAACAGCCCTTGTCAGCATTCATTCCTATTCTTACTGCATGCCATTCTCCTGTAGACTTTCTCTGGCTCCATAGTACTAAAACTGCAATAATTCTATTAATCTAATATTGCTTTGACAATTCCCCTGTTGCTATACCTTTGACTTGCATACATTCTACAATCTGAGTGGTTTTGGGTTTTTTTGACACAAATGAAGTCACAGCATCTATGTCTCAATGCTTCAACTCTTTTTCAAGACCACTGCTTATCCCATTAATTTGGTACCTCTTGAAAAACTCCACCCATTATTTTTAAATTTTTTAACTTTCTTTTAACAGGGCATCAGCTGGCACAGATTTGCTACCAGTAAAACGTTTTTTAATCTATTCCAAGTATTTCATCAGTACCTTGAACCTCTTTGGCAGTCTTAGATATTTCCAGCCTTTGCATTTTACGTTGAGCAAAACTGGCAGAACAGATCTTCACAAAGCAAAGGAGGAATTCAGGTATTGATAGCCATAGTTGTGGATATGGCTTTTTCCTCTTCTACTAATACCATGCATTGTTGAACTAATACTGCATTGCAGTTTCCTTGGTTAAAAGTGAACCACCATGAATCTCTGCATGCTGACATGCAGAAAGCACTGATGTACCACAAATCTGAGTTACTTATGACAGACAACTATCAGAATTGCTATCAGTTCAATTTCGTCTTATTTTTCTCATGTTACTTTTCTTCCTTGCAGATTTTCTGGGCGTTTTTGGTTCCCCTGCACAAAAATCTGAGCTTCAGCTTTGCTTGTGATCATTTTTATGTTAAATCATCTGTACATTCCAACACATTAGCATGATGGATGTCCAGATTCCATGTCAAAATCTTAATTCAGAAAATTCAAGTTCTTTTATTGCTCCCTGTAGGAACAGTCTTACGCATAATATGGGTTCCAGTACCAAGTATAACTTAATAAATAGACATTTTCACAGAATCACACAGAATCACAGA